TTCTAGGAAGGCCAGAGCTTGACAAAGATGATCACAACGTAGTGGATCCTGCTTGCTCCTGACAAGCCGTGTTTATTTAGCTGATGATATTTGTCAAGTCCACTCTTGTACAAATGGTAACTGGAAATCATCCACGAGTCATAAATGTGAAAAGTAAATGGCAACACTGCCCTTCAGAGTGCTCACGCCAAAAATTGAGGCATCATCCTAGCCTCTTCTCTTTCTCTCATATGCCCCATACTGTCAGAAAATCCTTTTATATTTTACCATTAAAATATAATTGAGAATCTGACCCTTTCTCACCACAACAATTACTTTGAACCCCTCCAGGCTAAACCACAAACTCTTTGCTAGATTATTGCAGTAGCCTCTTAATATTGGGGGAGAATTGTGAGGTGAAGATAAATATGGCAATGGAAGATGGCTACAAAATCTCCACATTTCTTCACATTCTGGGGCAGGTTGTGTCTAAATCTGTACGAATATTTGAATAGAAGAACCAGAAACCCATTCAAACTTGTTTACACCAAGAAGAAAAGAAAGTGTAGCTAGTTTTTAGAAGGAATAAGAACTAAGATCTGGAGAGTAGGAATGAAGACTCGACTCTTCAGCTCCTTACAGTCACTTTTTTGTAATTCGAGTTTGCTCCACTCTCCCAGTATCCTAAGTGCGGGCGCTCTCTGCTTCAGTTCCAGCTCTACAGGATTTCCTGATTTAGACAAACTATCATCTTTATGATTGAATTCCAAATTCCCAGAAGAAGATGATCTCTTGCTGTGGCTTATTTCAGGTGTCTGCCTCTGATCCAATCAGTTTGGACCAGGACATATGGTCACCCGACTAAAACACAGCTGCCCAGGCCCAGCATTTCAGCAGGACCTAGGAAATTCATTTAGAAAAGGGTCCTGAAATAGGCAAACTAACTAATATCTCTGCTGCAATTTACAAATAATTTAAATTCAATATTCTGTTAAATGGTGTAGTGAATCAATTATTGCCATGAATACATCCATCGAGATTCAATAAACTGCAGTTAATTCTATATAAATGAATGCTAGCAGGTGAGATAAATTGGCCTACCTTCCAGAATTATTTTTCCTAATAATATAATTTTTCACTAAACTATGTATTTTCAGTTTCTACTTTATCCCTCTCAACCAGCATCCAGCTGCCCCTGTGAAACCAATAACAGAACCTTAGCTAGCCCGGTAGCCTTTAAACGAGATAATGAGGATTGACAGATTTAGAAATGTAATAAATTCTCTGTTTTGGGACTTTGGACTTCCAATGCTAACTAACTTAATGAGATGCTTTTCTTTTTGTATATTGATTCTTCTTTTTTCTTGCCTTTTAATTTTCATTGTATTAACTGAGTATTGTTTAGAGCTAAATATAATACAGAGAGCTATAATTTGTCAGTGGTATATATTTTACATCATCATTTCCAGATCCATTCTTCAAAAAGCAGGTAAGGAAGAATTACATTTGGGAGAATGTCACATACCCAAAGACAGAAAGCTATTGAATTCCTTGGAATGAACACACTAATTCACTCATTAAACAGAACACACACACACACACACACACACACACATACACACACGCAATAAAACTTTGTTGAGAGATTATTATGGGTAAAACTCTATGTTATGTGCTCAAGTTTAAAATGAATAATATAAATTATTAAAGTTTTAGTAATTTTATTCTAAACTTAAAATTTCTAATTAATTTTAATTTAAATTCTTAAATTTATCTTATTATCAAAAATCAGTTGGTCAATTGAAACTGACTTATAAGAAATAAAATGAATTTGAGGGTCCATTATTTTGTCTTTGCTATCCTAAAAGTAGCTATTTTAGGGCTCTCCCCAACCCCCCAATAGAATTCTGAATATGTTCTGGTCTTCTTGAGCTTGGAGAGAATGGATTGCAAGTTCACAAAGCTACATTACATTAGTAGAGACGTGCTCTAAGCTCATCTTAAATTCCATGTGTTCTCTGTGAACCAAAGTTTTTGGATTGCCAGAATGAATTCATATTTGATGAGAGGGATGAGGTATGGAGATCAAAGCAAAAATTATAAAGTCAACAATGGAGAACTGGCTTAAATTTTGAAGTCCCTGTCATCTCAAGTATCCTGATAGCAGAATGGAAAAACTGACATTTTTAAGTATCTACAGAGTGCTAACCAATGTGGTGCAAACTTTACATTTTTTGTCTAGTGTATCCTCACAAAACCCTAGGAATAAGATAATATTAATCTCATTTTACACGTGAGGAACCTCGCCTTTAGGAAAAGTAAGGAATTTGCCCAGTGTTGCACATGTTACCAAGGCCTGAATTGAAATTCATGTCTGGCAGACAACAGAGGCCCAAATTTTTCCACTGCAACGCCACAGGCCTCTCAGCAAGAAGCTGCCCCTTCTCCAAAGAGTTTTATAATCAAATGATGACAAATTACCCAACAGATTTATTTTCAACCTAGATGAAAAGGTGGATCATACAAATCTGCATGGGAAGTGATCCTTGTTTTGCAATTTACCCCTATGGAGACATTAGTATTTAAAAAAATACTCTCTAGGTACTTCTGATTAGGTCCCCACATGCTTTCCAATGCTCTACGCTCTCCTCTTCACCTGGTCAATTTCTACTTATCTGGACTCAACTATGGTAAATGGTAAATATCACCATTTCCAGGATTTCTCTGGCTGGTTAAATTACCCTCTTCAGACGTTCTCATCAATGATTCCATCAATGAACTAATCACATTGTTTGTTTTACAATTAATTATTTATGTGAGGTTTTCCCCCTTTTAGGCAGTGGTGAGCTTTTTGAAAGCACGAACTGCACTTTCGCACCTTCAGTATCTAGCACAAAGTCTCATATTCAATAAAATGATGCAGCGCACTAAATTAGTAAACAAAAATTTCAGAACCACTTGGAAATAGCTTACGGAAATCCTAAAATTTATTGTTAATTGCACCCAGTGAATTAACTGAATAATTCAATAAATATTAAAACAATACAATTTTTATATGTTCCAAGGGTGAGACATCCTCCTTGTATGCGGAAGCCCCAGAGAAAACTACATTTCCCGAAACCCCTCAGCCCCAGTTGTGGTTGCTTTGCCGTTGTTGAAGGCCTATCAAGTCTACCAATACCGTGACGATAATTTACCTAAACGGGGGAGAAGGCGACCAATCATAAAGAAGAGGGCGGGCACTTCTGAATTGGATTTAGAAAACCCTGAGTAAGCTCTTCGGTGGGTCTTCGCAGGACCCTCAGGGGCAGTGAATCAGTAACCTGGTAGAGTGCCCTTTCTCCCAACCCCACGAATTAAAATTGGTCTTTATGAGCCTCTATCATTCCTTACGTTTTCCACAGTTCTTCCTAATCAAATACCTGTGCTTCCCATCCACCTTTCCTTGTTGAAAACACTCTCCAGGAGGGTACCTGCAGTTTGAATCTCTCTACCTTTTCAAACTTGAGCCAGACATTTGTTTATAAGCATCCAAGAGAGATTATTCAGGGAAGCAGCGGGAAGATCTGAGCAAAATCTTCATCTTTTCCCTCCTTTTCCTTGCCAAGAGTGGAGAAGCTGCTGGGGATTACTTAATAATTAGCGTAAGAGGGTGATTGAAGGTTCTGAAATGAGTGACAGCGCGGTGTTTACTTGCACCCTCGTTCCCGCCCCCATCCACACCCACCGTAGCTTGCCGACAGAATCCAGGGGTGGCCTGTCACTGGTCGCAGCAGATGCCCAGCCCTGGAGCGGTATCCTATTCCATTCTAGCAGCTACCTGCTTCGGCCACGCTTTAATCCTACCAACAGTTTCAGGAAAGAATTCATTTTCCCCCGTCTAGGTTTATCGCCTTTCCTAGTACCTTTCTAAGTCTGCCATCCTCTTGCCACAGACAGAGTCGTTGTCAAGACATAGTTTTTCAAATACCAAGTCCAAATCAATCCAAAACAAAGCTCATCAATAAAGCAACAACAATAAAATTGTAGCCAGCAGCCGGGAGTGTGTGTACCTCTTGAAAGGGTTAGAGCATAAATCCCCACTTAAAAGACCGAATTTGAAATAAATGTATCCTGCTGCTCGTTAGTCGTCAACATTTTTACTATCCCAGCTGCAGGAGCAGCAGCTGCGTATACTCCAGTAGGGCGACTGGGATGGGAGAAATTTAGCAGTGGTCTGGGATTTTCGCAGAGGATAATTTAAGCCCCAGCTCCACTCCCGCGGAGGAGGGGGGCGGGGGGTTTGCAGTGGGTGTGCGCATGCTCAGCAGCTCCGCTCCGCGGAGGCCCAGCTGCCGCCACCGCCGCGGCCGGCGCTGTAATCGCGGCTGCTGCTGCTGCTGCTGCTCGGGGCGGGCGTTGGTGCCGTGTGCCGAGACTCCTACTCTGGCGAGGGGGAGCGGCCGGGCGGGACCGCGGGCGGCGCCGGCGCCTGAAGAAGGCAGCCGGGGCTCTGAAGGATCGAGGGCGGGCGGGTCCAGCGGCGGACGAACGAAGCAGAGAGCGCGGGCGCCCACCCGGGGCGCCTTGCGTGCGATGCCGGACGGGCAGCGACGCTGAGCAGCGGGGAGGCCGAGAGGCGACCGCGGTCGGAGAGCCAGCGATCCCCGGGAACAGGACGAGCAGGAGGAGCCGCAGGAGCGGGAGGAAGCGCCGAGGGACTGCGGGGCCGGGGCGAGCGAGGAGCGGCGGGGCCACCCGCCATGGACGCCGCGGCGGTGGCGGCGGCGGCGGGGGCGAGTCGGGGCGGCGGCGCGGCGCAGAGTCAGCCCGCGGCCAGGTGAGGCTGGACAGAGCGGGCTCTGGGCGCCGCCGCCACTGCTGTGCCGCCGGGCTGCGGAGCGAGGCGGCGGCGGCGGCGGCTGAAGCGGCGGCCTCGGAGGAACAGGGGTCGCTGCCCGGGGTTCGGGTGGCCGCCGCGCTCTTGTCGTCGCAGTATTTCCTGTTTGGATTACCTTCTGCTTCTCCCCAGCTGCCTCCTTCCCCTCACACTCCCACTCACCCCCGCTCCTCCGTCGAAGCTGCTCTCGGCCCGGGCTTGTTCCTCCCGCTCCCGGACTCCGCTTGCCGCCCCTCTCGGGCAACGAGGGAGCCCCACCGAGACCATGAGGAAATTCAACATCAGGAAGGTGCTGGACGGCCTGACGGCCGGCTCGTCCTCGGCCTCGCAGCAGCAGCAGCCGCAGCAGCATCCGTCTGGGAACCGGGAGCCGGAGATCCAGGAAACGCTCCAGTCCGAGCACTTTCAGCTCTGCAAGGTGAGCGGAGCGTGCAGCCCGCGAAATTTGGGGTCGTTTTACGGGGGCCGCTTCGGCTTCGCAGGGGAGTCCCGGGGAGTAGAGCGCCGGTAATAATCAGACTGCGAATAAAGGGCTCGCTCCTCCTCTAGCAAACATTTGCTCGGTGGGTTATTTTGGAGATTGACATCATCTTACACCTTATCGTTGATATCTCCCCCCTTCACATGCAGCAATCATTCAAGGTTGCTTGCAACCTTTACTGATCTTTAATTCATATTCTTCATTAACGATCTTACAGCTTTTAGAGTCGAGCGTTTTAATGTAATTCACCAACTTAGAAGTTTCCCTTGGAAACAGCGTCTAATGAATGTTGCTTATCAAAAAGCCAAACCTGTTCAACGAGATATTTGCTCATTACTTTTAGAATGTGGTAGGAGTCTTTAACATAGGAAATCTCAGGGTCCTCTTACCTTTGGTTAAAAAGTTCTGTGATTTTTGCCTATTAATGGCACGACAATTGCCATAGCGGTCTGTAATTCAGAAAGAATGATGCAGCGAATTAATTCAGCAGCTGCTCCATGAGAAATACAAACTTCGTATTAATATCTCTCATGCGTTCATATGTTAGAGTTTCTTAAAAGTGTGTAGGTAACACTATTTTGCCCTAATGCCTTAAAATGATTACGAATTTCGTAGCGAAATGCCAAAATGTGTTGTAGTTGTTCACATTCTGTTGTAATTGCAAAACGCTGGGGTAGATGTTTGAGCATTTGCTTTACTGAATCCTTGGCTAGTTTATACGACAGCTTTTCCTTAGAAGTACTTGGATTAGCATCCAAATTAATGATGAAGCTATCACACTCGAAATCATACATGAATTGCATTTTTAAATGAATTTACAGAATTTTTGACCACTGTGAACTTAGTAATTTGGTCTCAGGCTTAACAGTATAGAATATAAGAAATTTTCCTTTATAGAATGTCAGTGTTATGGAAAAGCAGAAATTACAGTGTAATGCTGGAATGGATATTTTTGTTTGTTTCAGGGTCTATGTGAGTAAGTTTGTTCATATAGATTTCAGTCTTTTTTAAAGCAGTAAGTACATATATATGTGTTTTGTATAAATTATAATTGGCTCTAGATTCTAATGCCTTTATTGACTTTTCTGTTTTTAAATTCTGCTTGCTGCCTTGGTTGGTGTGATGTCACTTGTCCATGCCTAGACTGTTCGCCATGGATTTCCCTATCAACCCTCAGCCCTGGCCTTTGATCCTGTACAGAAGATCCTGGCAGTCGGAACTCAGACTGGTGCTTTAAGGCTGTATCCTTTACTTTAATTTTATTTTTTAAACTTTTACTGTATTCTCCCTAGTCCTGCTGTGATGCTAATCAGTCGTTCTTGTTTAATTCCCAAGAAATAATCTGGTAGATATTTTGTGAAATGATGTGCTGTTGGCTTTTCTCTAGATTATACATATATTCAGGTTAATATGTTGTTGTGATCCTTGTTGGCTCTCAGTTTATAGTAGCTTAATTTATATACACATAGAGTTCTTAAGCTGTACCGTTTTTGCTAGGAGCTAGAAGTTTCTAAGGGGGGCTATATCTCCTTATATTAGTAGGCTGTTAAATGGAATGTGTTAAAGACCAGGTTTAAAGACAGTAGCACAGCGTACATTTTAATTGGTTTTTAACAGTTGTGTGTGGTTGATGTTGAACTTAATGACTTATTCTAATGAATTAGAGGTTGAATTTGGCTGTTTCTGACTTGTCCAGCTAGAAAAATCACTAGAAAACAAATGTCTTAATTTTAAATAGCTAGCTATGGAAGGTTGCTATTTCCAGAAGTTACAGAGCATTTTCTTAGCATAATGCAAATAGATAAGCGTTCTCTTTTTGATGTTTTCCTTTTGTAGTCTGCATTTGTTTTGTATGTGTAAAAACTGTTAAGGTTAGCAGTATTCTGAAGTATTTGTATAGAGAATTATTTTTCCTGGTTATGCATGAACTAGAGTAGAAGTTTTGCCATAGCCTAATTTCCAAATACCTACTGGGTCTTTAAGATCAGTTTTTTAGTTTCAACAATGCAGACTACGTGTAATTTCCTCTTTTAAAAACTAACTTAAAATTGTGTTTGCTTTTACAGTGACATTAAACCATCTTAACTGAAATACCCTTATTTTTAAACTTAAATGTAAGATTTTTAAAAGAAAATCCTGTGTCTGGTCATCAGTTTTCTACGTATTATTGAAGTAATATGTTGGTAATAGATGGAAAAAATTCACTAGACATGGCTATTGTCAAAACAAACAAATGGCAGGGGGGGAGCTTTTTACCCCTTTCATCTGGCTCCTGATAGGGGAACCTGCATTTAAACATGTTCCTTGCTTTTTCCTTACAATTTTATAAAATCTTTATTTCCAAGAAGTACTATGTATGGTATTAGAATATGTCTAAAATTTCATTTGATATCAGTGTGCAGTCTTCAAAATGATCACAAGTTTTTTCAGATGGGCCATTGAACTCTGTTACTAAGTGAAGTCCCCCATTGCTAGCAAATATCGGTAGTGCAGTCATACCTATTAAAATGATAAAGTCTGACCAGCCAACATCCAAATCAGTGTATTTCTAAGTTGTTTGTGTAAAGGACTCTTGCGCAAATATCAAGATATTTTTGGCTTCAGTAGAGAGATTTTTATTCCTAAACCAAATGATCAGTACCTTCTAGTTTAGGATTCCTATTTTCAGTCTTGCAAAGATGGGAATAAAGTTAATTCCTGTCAATGTAGGTACTGAGTGTTCAGTAAAACTCTGTAGTGACAAATTAGTGGATTGTTGGATCTAGATGGACTGTTTAGAACTGAAAGCTGATTTTTTTTATTGTTGTTGTTGGTCCCAACAAAAGAATATCATCACTGGACTAAAAGAAAAAAAATCAATTAAATCAGTTATTTTTATATTATTTTGCTCTTCTTTTAAATGAGTTGAATTTTTACAGTTTTTCCAATGTAGTCACAATTTTTTCATGGTAAATGACTTTCCTTTTTCTTTTAAAAGCCAATGTGCTCCTTTTGTAATTTAATGTAATTATAAAGGAAGTACTGCCAGCAAGGCTGATTTTATAAAACCAAGTATTTTTCTTAGACAGGACTTTTACAACCAACTGCTTTTGAGTAATTAGCAAGTTGACACAAGGGAGGAGTTAGGCCTAATGCTAATTGCCAATAAAAGCAAGGGTCAATTGTCCAAAGTCATTACTTGTATGTAACTTTTGCTTATATACATTTTTTAAATAGTTAAATATATATGAATGTAAATAAATTTGTAATTTTAGTTTACAATTAGACTCTCATTTTTTTTTTTAAGAACCTGTCTTACTATATTAGAATTAAGTGAGGACAACATTTACTAAATATCTATTTTCCTTTTTTGAGATTTATATGAACTTTCCAGAGTGGTAAATTGGTTTGTCTACCAGTAATACCACCCAGTCATTCCTTCTGTTAAATTTAAGTAGCAGATCAGCTTATAAGCTTTATTTATTATGGCTTTGACTTATAAAAAATGACTAAGACCTTTTTATATGTGATTTAAGATCTGTTATTTTCTCCTTTATTTTCAAAGATAGACAACTAAAATTTTAGTTTCTAATTTCACAGCTCCATATTCATATCATATGCAGAATTGTTAAAGATTAATCCTCTAGTCCTTGCTCTTTTAGTTTTAGAAATTTCAAAAATTTCTTTATTGAAATTGGTTTCTTTTCATATTAGACACTTGTAGCCTGTAATATATTTGTCTTAAAAGGTATCTTTAGAGCAGAAATATACTTCTAGATAATGTTTTTTCTTTCCTTTAATTGTTGAGCGGAAATAAGGAGATGTATTCAGAAGTAGATTTGGGCCATTGGAATTTGAAATGCATATCCGATTTGACTAATGGAAGGTCTTCCTAAATGTTGGGGGACTAAACTGTATTAATTTATTTTGAGGGTAAAAAAATGGTGAACATTTGAAACATGAAAAAAATTTGATATCTCTTATTTGCAGACAAGAATTAGTGAAAATTTGAATCCTTAAGTACTATCTAACTAATAATGAGACAATATAAATTTTATGTATTTGCTGCATTAATGTATAGCAAATGACAGATATTTTTAAACATGCTTTATGTTCAGCCTTCTTGGCTCCTGGAGAGAATATGAAGTTGGAATGTACTTATTGATATGAAGTAGGAAAGCTTATTTTAAATAAGTCATATAGTAGTGATGTGATTTAATTATTTTAATTCTTTTTTGCCATGTACAATTTGATTCTTATGAGGAATTGAGGGATCAAAACTATTGGGATGATAGGGAATATGGTCAATAATGTAATAACTGTGTATAATGTCAGATGGGTACTAGACTTATTGGGATGATCACTTTGTAAGTAATATAAATGTCTCACCAGTATGTTGTACACCTGAGACAAATATGTCAACTATAATTGAAAAAATTTTTAAAAATATTTAAAAACTATTGGGATATGACAGTCCAATTATCCATTCCCATATGGATAAGTAAAAGGGGAACAAAGGTTCTAATTGAAGAATGAAGGCGAATATAGTAATGTCCCTTGGAGTTTATTTAACAAATGTTAATTAAGTGTTACAATTAGATTACAAATCGTGGCCTGAATTCTGGTTCTTGTCACTAAAGAATTATATGTTCTTGAATTAGGGTTTGTTTTTTCTTTTTTAATTTTTAAAAATGAAGGTTCTGTATCATATGATGATTTCATCAAGAAACAATTTTGTGATTCTGAGTAGCTATACTATATTCATACATGTGAGTATTCAAAAGAAATGGAAATGTGATTTTTGTGTTCAAAAAAATTTCCAGTCCTAACTAAAGGACTAGAACTAGATAAACATGATATTCAAGAATTATTTAGGTGTTTACTGACACCGCACAAAGTTAGATTACAGGTAAATTCATTGCATTTGGTGACATTTATACACAACAGTAGATAAGGATTCTGAATGGCAGAGAAGAATGAGTGGAAAATTATTCTAGGCAAACAGTGCGGGTAGATTTAGAGAAAAGGGAATTATGGTAATTTAGAGGAAAAGGAAAGAGGCTCTTTGGAATAGTGATCTTAATTGAGTTCAGGGGAGAAATGAGAGCCATTTGGTGGAGAACCTTGAGTGTTACCCTGGGGTTACCTGGGGGTCATGAGGATTCATTGTAGTTGTGTAAGAGAGCCTGAGAGGAAGACAGTGCGGTTTTTAGGATGGTTACTGGGGCAGTGGTGTCGAGGAGGAGAAGAGTAGACTAAGTGAGACGTCAAATGTAACTGTTAACCCACATGGTTAGTAAAATGGATATAAAACAGGTAGTAGAATGGGAACTGGAGAAGGACTTGATGACTCCTTTACATAATATCTTAGAAGGAGGGAGTGACTAAAGGTGATAAAAAGTTTTGCAAATACTGAGGCAATTACAAGACAGAAAAGGAAAACTTTAGGTAAAGAGGGTGGTGAAGTACCGGTAGTATTTGCACTTGCCATCTTTTACTTTTGTCATATTGTCATTTTGAGAATAAGCCTAGACGACTTCTTTTAGTATGAGAATTTGATAAGCTTTTATACTTGATTCCTTGATTTTGTTATTGAATTGAACTAGATTAAAGCCACTGTTAGCTGTTTGGCTCTGTCCATTATCCTAGTTAGTGTCTCTCCGTAGTCGTAGCATTTTTGGGCAGGATTATTCTGTGGGTTTATCCAGCACATTGCAGGCTATGTGACGTTCCTGGTCCCACCTACTAAATGCCAGGGTTGCTTCTGCTGTCAGTGTGGCAACCCACACTCCCCTATAGTCTTCCAGGAGCCCTCGGTTAGGAAGTACTGCACTTAGCCCAAGTTCTTCAGTTCAAAAGGAGTAATAACTCTACGTAGCCCATGAGTTAGCATCAGGATAAAACGCAATAATGTGTACATGTAGCTTTTAAGACCACATAGGGACAGTTTTGGTGAACATTCAATAATATCTTTGTTACTAATGAGAATTTTTTTCTGTGATTTTAATTTTCAGGTCCTTCATTTATTTCAGCAAATAATTGCAGAGAGGCACTGTGAAGGAAGGCCTCAATTTCATTTATTTTTATAGCTGATGCAGTTTTTGAATAAAAGATCTTAAAAAGTACTGTTTTCTCTTTAAATTGTGTCTTTAAAATTGGTTGTTATTCTCAACCACAAGTTTGCAGAATATTTAGATGTAAAAGTCGTATGTGAAAGTTTGTTGCACGTAGATGACAGATAATTGTTTAATAATTTTGCACT